GTATTCGTTTGGTTGTTTAGTATGATATCGATCATTAGTTTCTATTCAGATTTTCAAGACACCAACTAGGAATTTGGGGCACTGTTCAAATAGAATTGAGGCACAGGCCCCGTGTGCCAGTGTCTAGCGATGCCTCTGATAATATGGATGGATAGTGTATTAGTTAAGGTACTTATTATATGTGTTTAAAATTATTGTTTATTCAATGTTATACAGTGCATGAATTTTTATAAAAAGGACAATTTATATTTTTGAACATGTATGCGTATTTAACAGTTTTGTCTTAGTTTATTAGCTGCAGCTTATTATCTTAATCTGTAGGACTTGGAATGAGGAACTTGAATATAATTGCACAGGTGATACAGCAAACCAGTTTTAGTGTTTCTCAGCTTCTACACTTTTAAAGGTTTAAAAACGCACGATCTTACATATAGAGCAACAGGTGATTGACCTTCTCAGTTGTTAACATACCATGTTGTTTTATGTGTTTATTTGGGGGTAGGGGGAGCGACCCTTATGGGAAAAAAGGTAAAAGGTCACACACTAATAGCTTTCTATAAAATCAAAAAGCATCCACATACTAAAGCTGTTAAATTTCGAAGTGAAAAACATTAAGTATAATAATAAAATATCTCAATACATTCATTTTCATGCCTACAGCAGTATCTCCAAATTTTACACACACATAATGATTATTTAATTGTGTGTATATTATATATATTAAGTATAGTGGATAACTACAATCATTACAACATAGTTGTCTGTCACCAACTGCTACTTTATTCTACCTTGAATTACTTTTTTTTAATTAACTAACCAGGCCAACTTAAGCCCAACGACTAACAGGCGCCGTTTCATTCTGGGGTCTGTGACGACCTTGACGGCCTGCTGGGCGTTTGAGGTGCTTGTTGTTTTGGGAAGGGCTAATATGGAATTTAATGCTTTAAGAATCCCTACAGTGATTGATGTAGAAAGACAAAGTACATTACACGTTATCTTAGGTTTAGCCTTTTGGTAATATTTTCTCAAAAGCCAAAGTGTATGCATACTTTACGTTATGAGAGCATGTACTGAATATACCGTTTTGTTCTATATATTTTATATTACGTTAATATGTTACTGTTCTTAGTTTTCGGTTATCTCGCCAGTCTGGAAATTGAGAAATAAAATGCATAATGTATAAATATTTAGGGGTTTATTTTTACTGTTATATGTTCAAGAAAAATTGAAATTCATTTATTATTTGAAAAATTATGGTTCGTTCGAGAACCATAAGTATAATCTGTTGCTGGCTTCTTGACTTGACAAAATCAACGAGGTCGAGCCGAGTTAAATCTTGTAACTTGTTTGTATTGTCCTTTTGACCATGGTAAACAAAAAGCCTTGAAAGATGCCCGTGTTCGATGTTCAGGTAAATTTCTGTTCGGCTGCGATTTGCGTAAAAGTATTATATTAGTGTTGCCTTTGACCTTTTACCCATGATAACTAATTTACACCACTCCCCCTCCCCCCACATTACCCGGGTGAGTGTAAAATGCTGAAGGGAATGCTATTGTTTGGCGAATGGCTTTGAAGGGTTATAACCTCCCGTCCGGAAAGAAAACATCGAAAGACACTGTGTGAAAGTATAACTTATAGTACTCTTCTGTAGCATTAGATCCCAGTATGTTAACACCGAGATACATCGTAATTCTACATACTGTAGACTCCAACCTCGCAGTTTCTCTTCGGCCATACATGTATGTATTTATGTTTAGTTGTTTATAAAAACAAGCACGTTGGAGCACACACAAAAAAAGAGGTTAAACCTTAGAAAGCTCTAGTGCATTTGACAGGTGGAGCTGTCTTCCTTTGTTCATGTCCACCTGTCCAAAGTACTAGTTTTTAAGGTTCAACCTTTTAGTTATTCATTCATGCATGCATATTTGTATGTGTTCGTGGATGTTAAAGTTAACAGCAGGACAAAAAAGAGTAAATTGGCATACAGAATTTAGCATTTGTAGGATAGCCATTTAGAAAATATTTGATGTTATTTTGTTTTAACACAAAGTTTTCATAACACTTTTTGGATGTAAAATTGTGAATACCTAAGTCAGTTCATATGATGTTTCCCAGTTTTATAGTTTTTTAATATTAACTTCCAGAGCAAGCTATGAACTTAGAGCGAAAAGAAAAGAAAAACAACTGGTAAATTGAAAATATATTTTACGTTTGTATTTATACACTTGTATCATTTAGAGTAAACACAACGCTTTAAACAAGTTTTGCCATAGTTTATATGATTTAACGTTAGTTCACCTAGATATACTTTATAGACTGGCGGGCTTGTTAACGAATTCTTTTTCTCATTTATTCATCAGTTGGAAGTGAATATAAATACATAACATATTGCGTTGTTTTGTTGACGGACTGCTTCATGCCGCTTCGATTTTCTAAAAAAGAAATAGATTGCGTTTCATGTTTAAAATATGCATTGATAAGAGTAACTAAGTCAACAAATACATATAATTGAACCCCTGACTTTCACACGCACACAGGGGATTTCATTTCATTTTTATTTCACAGAGTGGAAGGAATATTTCTCAGACAAGGCATGGATTACAAAAATGTTCTTCACTATTTTCGAAGATCCGTTCGTGAATATAAATAAGCAATTATTATAGTGATTTATTTAAATTTGTGTGTGCCAACTTCACTTGTAACCCACGAATGAAAGCAAATTAGAATATGTTATGATATGTCAACCATGTTACATCTGCTATATCCACTACTTACGATATCAATACCAGGGTTCATCGGGCCGGCTGGTATACGACAAAGACAGAAGTGAATAACGACTGATAAAACAAATGAATTGTAATTATAATTAATTTTATTCAAGTCATTTACAAATGAAATTTTTAGGTAAGAATTAATAATGTATACGTCTGTTAGAGTTATGCAAAAGTTGTAAGTATTGCCACTTTTGTAAAAAGTCACAAGAGAACTGTATAAAATATGAATAAGTACTACATTGCAACAAACAGCGATGTAGGTAATGCCTTCGGTATGTTAGGATTTACTGGTGCTGTAGTAAAATTTTTAAGTCTCACCATTTTTCTGTGAAGAATATTTATTGATTTTTATTTTTTGCGGTAGCTGGTATTTGGAAACCAAAATGAAAAAAATCCACCATACTTGTTGAGCTAGAAAGATAGGCACGTGGAAATATGGTAGACGTTTTACAATGTACTTGAACATCGACATATGAATAAATGTTTTACAACATTTAATGTTGATTTTATTTTTATTA